CATATATATATATATATATATCTACACATAAAACAAGAGACATCTTAATGACATAGCCTTCAAATCTAAAAACCAATAGTTATTCTACGTTATAGAAAGAACATATATATTCTTATGATTCTCCAACTACCCGAACTTAGTTTCAACAACATTTTCCCAATTTTTCAGCATAAAAAATTTTATTGTTAGCATGCCATATATTATTTATTAGTATTAACTTTAATCATGTAATTCAGCACATAGCAGTGATGGAAGGATATGAAGATTGTGTTTCAGTACTACTCAAGCATGGGTGTAACGTAAACATACAAGGTAAGTTTTAAGAACTTCTACTAATGGAAATCCCTCGGTACTCCACTCTCGCCTTGCTCACTTTTTTTACACCGTTTTCAGACAAGGATGGAAATACAGCCTTATGGCTAGCCATTACCACAAAGCATAAGGGAATTTTCAACCTCTTGTATCATTTTGCATGCACGTCCAATCCCAATGCTGGAGGTGAACTCCTTTATCTTGCAGCAAAAAGAAATGATCTTGCCACAATCAAGGAACTTTTGAAACAGGGCTTAAATATAGATTCAACTAACCATGAAGGGCTAACAGCCTTGGAAGTTGCCTTGGCTGAAAAACATGTAGATTTAGCGAAATATTTGATTATGAATGGAGCAAACATAGAAACTGTAAATGTTCATGGAAGAGAAACAATGCCCAAGAGTGAGCTAGAAGAAATGGTAATGAAGAGAGAACTTGGCTACCCAATAACAATATTTGAAGAACCTGAGGGGTTCAAGGAAAAAATAGCTTATCGGAATGACAGTGAAAGAGTAAAATGGAGGGAGATAAGTGTAATTTGTCCCAGGGTCAGTGTGTATAGAGGCCATCCGCTACATAGGAATCCATCCTCAGAAGCAGGAAAGCTAATAAGTTTGCCAAGCACTATGGAGCAACTCAAGCATATCATTGGTATGTATTCATTCTTGTTATTAATTTATTGTGAAAAACCACATATAAGTGATTTTAGAAATTAACAAGCACGTGCTGTTCTTGATGGCAGAACATGATTTAGTTCAAGTTGTATAATATTTTTGTTGTTCTTGTTGACAGGTGAGAAGTTTGGAATCGTGGCCAAGAATACTATCATAACTAATGATGAAGGAGCAGAAATAGACTCAATTGAAGTAATTCGAGACAGCGACAGGTTATTCATAGTTCAGGATGAAGATTTCATCAAAATAGATGGGTAGGAGTTATGATAGATATTTCCCTTCGAATTTTCTATCCTCTTAAGATTCGCTGGTAGTACTGGAAGTTAATATGCCCATTTTAAACTGTAAGAAAGAACATAGCCATGGTCACCTTCTAAAGGAAATATTGGGAAAAATTATACATTAATATTTCATAGGTTTTAATTATTTAAAAATTGTTGAATCCAAATTTATTCATAGAGAATAACCAAAGCCTTTTCTTGAGAATTAAATGACCCTATAAAGCAAGAAGAATAAGAGAAACTGGATTCTAGAGAATCCTATGGGGAATTATTTCACATAGAATTAAATCAAACCCTAATCCTATGAGCCAGATTTTATATGATTTCAGACCCTATAATTATTGTCAGAGACTAGGGAAGCTATATAAAAAATAATAGGATGATCCAATTGTAATCGATTATGTAGGGGGGTGTCTACTTGGTAAGTAAAAGGAAGCTCCAAGCAAATAAGCATGTTTTATACTCTATAAGCAAGTAACATTTGGCAAGCGCTCTAGATGATTATGCTAAGTACATTGACAAGATATTCGAACGTCAACATTCGATGGGTGGGCGAATTGATAAATCTTTTGGCCCATTTTATGGCTTAATATGTAGAACTGAGTTATACCTAACATTTAAGAAACTAATAAGAAATGTGAAGTTAGGGGACTTCAAAGAACTTAAATGAGTTTAGGACACGCAAATTCTAAGTTCCAATAATTTTAATATAAGTACATTAGTTTCCCTATTCTTCTTTGTTTTCCAGGTAGTCAAACCAGATAGGAGAACAAAATATCAAAGAAATCTACTTTGACTTGTGTGCTGAGAGAATATTAAAAAGGATCTTAACATGTGGTGGACATATCAACACTTACGTCTACAAATTCAAAGATTGAATTTATAACCATAACTTTATAAATAGGCTTTCTTAACAATCTCTATGTAGGTTTTGCTTATAGAGTAACCCAATGTGAAACTAAAAGACAATTTTGGATATATCGTTCAATATAACTGTTGTGAGATATGTACTTTCTGGCATAGAAATGAGACGAAAAAAAGAACACAAGCAAACACAGATCGTTTACGTGGTTCGATCTAACTGGATCTACGTCCACGGGAGGGAATCAATCAAATATTTCACTAAGGCAAAAGAAATGGAGAATACATAGCTTATACATAGAGATGAGCCCTCATCTTCCTTCTATGGCCTCCCTCTCAAGCGACACCTTGATACAAGGCCTCAAGATGCTTTCCTCCTCTAACTCTATAGTTATTCTCTCCTCCTTTGTGGTAGCTTAAGATCTCTTCTCCCTTTCTCTCCTAAGCCTCACACCCTTAAGATTTCTTCCCTTGCTCTCCTAAGCCTCACACCCTTAAGATTTCTTCTCTTGCTCTCCTAAGCCTCATACCCTCTCTATTTATAGAAGCAAGAGAGTGGTAGGTGGGAGGTAGGTGAGCGGTAGGT